AGCTGCAGCTCTGCCCCCCCCCCCCCAGGCTGAACTCTTCATCAACAATCTAAAGTCTGAACGTTTATAATGAACAACATAACTTATATAACTAATGGAAATGATAGATTTTATTAATTATTTATTAAACATATAAGTTGGTTATGATTGCATATGAGTTTTCTCTCATTTAAAAAGAAGAGACAATAATAGTGAATGAGGAAGAGAGCTCTATTCTTATTTATCTTTCCTGTTTTCTCAGGTATTTGGATTGGGAGTTGTGGAAATTGACCCAAAGTACCATTCCTACATCCTGATCAGTAAATTTCCTCCTTTGGAAGCAGAGAATGTGAATGAGTAAGGAAAAGAGGGAATGTAATGCCTCTGTTTCTGTGCTTCTGTGTTGGCTTAATTTTGTATAAAACCTTGTAAAACATGTCAAAAATCTCTTCATGTTTTTTGAAATGAGCAATAGTATTGCTTTTTTCTGATGGTTTCTATATTCTTGCATTTTGAGATACAAAGGTAGAGATCAAAAACTTTTGCTGGGCCACTTAGTCTTTAAGTGGTATGGCAGAATCTAAATTTCATTTTGTTTATATTTAAGTATACATTGAATTAAGTGTACTAAATTAATTAAATATATTATTATTAGTCATGTGTTTAACCATTCTCCCTTTCTGACATATTGAAAAGTGTCTTGAATTGTAATAACCAAATTTCATGGAGTGCCTCATCAAATGTTTTGGGAAGTGTATCCCCCAGTGAGATTTCAGCTGGTGGCCCTATGCCTAAGGAGAACCCATGTGTCCTCCATGCTTTGGGAAATGGAGTTCCTCCGTGTTACCCAATGCTTTGAGCAATCCACAGAACTTCTTTCAATAGTTCCTGGACTGAAATGCTAAACGTTTGGCTTTAAAAATGTGTTTCTCACTGGGTAAAAAAGGTTTCTTTTACATTGCAAATCCCCAGTGTTCACTTCCAGGTTAAAAAGTGGAATCTGTTTTGTTGTGTTTTTCTTGCAGTGATGAGAACACTCCCAAGATGGGCCTTCTTATAGTAATACTTAGTCTTATCTTCATGAAAGGCAACGTGATCAAAGAATGTAGGTTTCACTCCTACTTAATTTACCCCGTTTCTTAGTTAGTTTCATATGCTTACTGTTCTCTTTTGTCTTTATGCAGCTGCTGTTTGGGAAATGCTGAGGAGATTACATGTTGACTGTTCTGGGTAATATTGGCTGCTCTGAGACAGCATTGAGAGATAAATTCAAATATTTCAGTGTGGTTGGATGACTCGAGGAAGAAAATCTCCTTTGATCTGAGACAATAACATTCTTTTTTTTTTCCCCAGGGGAAAACACAAAGTCTTTGGCGATGTGAAAAAGCTGGTGACAGAGGAATTTGTGAGGCAAAAGTGAGTTAGGGGTTACAAAGCCTTTGCTATCCTTAGTACTGGAAGAGAAATTGATCATATTGGTTTCAGTAAATGGCAGATGGGAATTCAGAATGTTTTGCTTGCCTTTTAATGGCTAATATCTGGATCTTTTAAGAAAGGGGATTAGGATAGGATTATTAATTAGGATACAGGCTAATGGGAAATCTCAAACTATTTTCTTCCAAAAGGCAGGAATGATATCTTTGAGCTGAAGCAGTTATTCTACTAAATAATCTGTTTGGTGCTTACAAAGGTTTTTTTTTTTCCACTGATCGCATAATTCTCACTTCCTAGATATCTGGAATATACACGTCTCCCACACACAGATCCTCCTGAGTTTGAGTTCAGGTGGGGACCACGGGCTTTTAAAGAGACTTCCAAGAAACAGATCCTACAGTTTGTTGCCAAGGTACTGAATAGGCAGGGGAAAGGATTGGATTTTGTGACATTTGGTTTATGGGAGATTATGAGTTCTAATCCTACCTTAGCCATGAAAATTAGCTGGCTGACCTTGGATCAGTCACTCTCTCAGTCCAACTTACTTCACAGGGGGGGGGGGGTTTGTAGAAAAAATAAGAGGAAATTATGTTGGATATGTTCACCACCTTGAGTTGTTTGTAAAAAAATAATAAACATGGGATACAAGTAAATATTCAACTTTTACATTAAGGATAACTAAGTTTGTAGAATTACAATATGTTGGATCAATAACTGGGTGTGTACAATTATACATTTTGACATGGAACTGTCCTTTTCATCCTTTAAAAATATTTTATCACAAACAGGACCAAAGTACTGAATGATGGGAATTATGGATTTTGCAGGAAATTGGCAATTTTCTAACTACTCACTTTTAACACCTAAATTTTCCTTTCTGAAGGAAAGGCAGTCATGCTTGCTTGAAACACATCTTAGGGCATTAAAATGTATAACTGTTAACAGATCCTGTAGTATTCTGATAAGAGACAATGTCGTTCTGTGGTTAAAATGTGGGCCTTGGAGATCTGGTTTTAAGTTCCTTCTTGATATTATTCTCTTTCAACTTTGCCTAACTCGCACAATTGTTGCTTGGTTGGTAAAGTTAGAAGAGAACCCCCATATATACCACCTTTTGCTCTCTGAGAAAATGTTATAAATAAAATATCGTATTTTTCGGAGTATAAGACACACCTTCCCCCCCCCCCCAAAAGAGCGTGGAAATGTTGGTGCGTCATATACACCGAATACAGCCATTTTTGGCCTCCCAAAGTCCCGCCCCCGCATCCCATTTTTGTGAAAAACAGGCTGTTTTTCATCAAAATGATGTTTTTGCCTTCCCCCACCCCCTAGAAGCACTTCACCAGGGGTGGGGGAAGGAAAAAATGTCCCTGTTGGTGAAAAACGGAGGTGTTTTTGCCTTACGCCAGCCCTGCTGAAGCCTGCAGAGTGCCTCTGGGGGCCAGGGAAGACAAAAACTTTTTTTTTCTTATTTACCTCTTTGAAATCTTATACACCAGTGCGTCTTATAGTCCGAAAAATATGGTAAATGAGCAGGCAGGCAAAGCTGTACAGCCTAAATCATGTCCATACAATTTCGATTTTCCTTACTAGAGTGATAACTTCAGGGAGGGTATTGCAGAGAATTTGGTATATATTTTATTTCTATTTTCCTAATTGGACTCCTTTGATTTTCCTTGATTAGATACAAAATCAGAATCCCAAATCTTGGATGAGCCAGTACAATGAAGCGGAAGCAGAAGCGAATGCAGTGGGAAAATGATAAATATTATGGTGTTGAATTATAAGGAATTGTCAAAAACTCCTCCCTGGAACTGCTAGAACGACTGCCTGTTTTCTGTTACTATTTTTGGTAGGATTACAAGAGCCACATTTCATGTAAAGTGCTCCGCGCTTAATAAATTCCCTGTTTGTGGAGGAAAGATTCCAGAATAGATTGGACCATTATTGGTGATGAAGATAAAATTCTTCTCTAAAACTTGATAATTATTCAAGCATTAGCAATAGTATTTTCTGGAAATAAGATGATAGAATATCTACTGGAAATAAAAATATTTTTGCAATCATTTTTCTTTGCTATATTTTCTGCATTACTTTCCGCTTCCTTTCAGTTGACATATATTGTAAAGTCCTGTATTCATTCATCCGAATAAAAATAAGGCATATAATCAGGGCAAAGTTTTCATTGGATCCTCTACTGCAGTGTTTTTCAACCTTGGCAACTTGAAGATGTCTGGACTTCAACTCCCAGAATTCCCCAGCCAGCGAATGCTGGCTGGGGAATTCTGGGAGTT